CTGGAGTGTCCAGTGTGTCCTTCAGTCTCGGTGCACTCTCTGGTGCTGCAGCAGGTTGGAGGGGTGTGCGAAGCCCTTGTGACACACGCCGCACTGGTAGGGGCTCTGGCCGGTGTGCACCTTCTCGTGCACGGCGAGGTAGGCCTCGTCCTTGAAGCGCTTGTGGCAGAAGCCGCACTGGTAGGGCCGCTCCTGGCTGTGCACGCGGGCGTGCTGCAGCAGCAGCGAGGGCCGGGCGAAGGCCTTGCCGCAGGTCTGGCAGCGGTAGGGCCGCTCGCCGGTGTGGGCGCGCTGGTGGATCACCAGGTAGGAGCTCTGCTTGAAGGCCTTGCCGCAGGTGGGGCAGGCGAAGGGCCGGGCGCCGGTGTGCACGCGCTCGTGGCTGGCCAGGGCGTTGGACTGCTTGAAGGCCTTGCCGCACAGCGGGCACACGAAGGGGCGATGGTTGGTGTGCACGCGCTCGTGCACCTTGAGGCTGTGGCCGTAGGTGAACCTCTTCCCGCAGGCCGGGCAGACGTGGGGCTTGTCGTCGCAGTGCTGGCGCCGGTGGGCCAGCAGGGTGCCAGGGGTGGGGAAGTCCTTGCCGCAGTCCTGGCACTTGTGGGGCCGCTCGGTGACGTGCACCAGGGCGTGGCGCTGCAGCTCGTAGGGGGTCTTGAAGCGCTTGCCGCAGGGCGGGCAGAGGTGGGGCCGCGCGCCGCTGTGGATGCGCCGGTGCTCCTGCAGGTTGGAGGAGCGCTTGAAGGCCTTGTGGCAGGTCTCGCAGCGGAAGGGCCGCGACTCCGTGTGCACCATGCGGTGGCTCTTGTAGTCGGAGTGGCGCTTGAAGGTGGCGCCGCAGGCGTCGCACTGGTAGGGCCGCTCGGCGGTGTGCACCACCTCGTGGCTGAAGAGCTCCCACGCGCGCTTGAAGGCCTTCCCGCAGGCCCCGCACTGGAACAGCTTGGGCGCGGGGGGGCCGGGGGGGCCGGGGGGGGGCGAGTCGCTCTCGTCGTCGTCCTCGTCGTCGTCGTCGTCCCCGTCCACGATCACCTCCCGGATCTCCACCGCCCCCAGCTCGTCCTCCGTGTCCTCCTCCTCCTCCTCTCCCCCCTCCCTTCCCTGGCCTCGTCCGCCGAGCCCGCCTCCGCCCCCCTCGTCGTCGTCGTCGTCGTCGTCGTCGTCGCCCAGGCAGGGCACGAGCTTGGCGGTGGCGTAGCCCCCGGACTCATCGATCAGCTGCACGAACTTCACTCCCCCTGCCCCCGTCTCCCCCCTCCAGTCCCCCTGCGCCCCTCCCTCGTCCTCCCTCCTGGAGGAAGGCGCCGTCGCCGCGGAGACCCGGCCAGGGGCGGGGAAGCCGGACCCTTCCCCCGCTCGCTCCGGACCAGCGGGGTCGCTCCTCTTCCTCCGCGAGGAGGGCGGCTGTGGCGGGTCCGGG